GATGGACAAATTCAGGAAAAGGACGAAAAGATCCTTCTCGTCTGTCGTCAGAAACTTCTTTACGATCATTTTTGTGAGATTCTCCCAGATCTCCTTCTCACTTCCGCCATGGCCATGCTCAGAAGATGGATCGATAAAACACGGGAAGTGGAGGAAAATCGGAAGGTGAGGCAGATCATACGAAATAATCTCATCATCTGTGGCTTAAAACCTGTTAAGTTAGATTCATCGGTTTGTGAGTGTTGGGAGAATAAAGGAAAAGTCGAAGCACCTAAGTCCCTCGAGTACGAGGCAAAAGAGAATGAGGAATTCCATTTTGCGAATCTCACCTCGAGGATCTGCCATGCCACCTGGGAAATAATCCTTTCCTTTCGATTCCTCGAGAGCTCCGTCGCCTCACTCTCACTCGAAAAGAAGGCGATTTGGTCACTCAAAACTGCGAAAATTCAGCGGCTTTTTCGTTCCTTCACTCCCGAAACGAACTCCTTGAATTTGTTGTGCAGTAGGATTGGTGGCATAGCAGTCATAGGAATGGAAAACGCATCACAAGAGCTTCTCCAGGACTCTGTGGGTCGATCGATGCTCGGATTGGGTCTTCGATTATGTGAATGCTGTGACATGGTGACGAAACTGCCTGAAACGATTCAACGTGTCGTGCTTGTGGACATGGAGAGCATCCTCAAAGCCCGGGAGCCTGCTTTCGACCACGTCTTCGTCGACGAAGCCGAAGACTTGTGTCATGATTTCGATGGCCACTGGTTCACCTCACTCCGTTCCCTCCACAAAGGAGGAGGATACTTCTGGAGAACATATGACCCCCTTTCCTTCTCGAAAACTGATATGCCAGATTCGCTAAAAAAAGGAGTTGGAAGGTGCTCATTCCTTGCTCACGGTCCTAAGGAACCCGCGATCCGTGTTACACGCTTGGACTACCAATCTCTCGCCCGAGGAAGATATCGATTTCTCCTTCCCCGGCACCCTTAACTCTGTGTATAAAAGGGAAGATATTCGATCGGGACACGATTTACATGGCCCGAAAGTGGAATATTTTCGCATCACCAGTTCCGATTTGGCGGGAATGATCCTCGCAATTTTAAGAGAGAAGTTTGGCCGTGGGACACACCCCGGGGACATCGCCGTGCTTTTCGCCGAGAATGGGGATTTCGATACTCACGGAGAACTGCTGAGGAAGGAATTGGAAGATCAGCTCCATGCTTCTTCCAACACTCCCCGCGTCGTTGTTGAGTTTGCTTATTCTTTCAAGGGAATGGAAGCCCCCATCGTGTTCTTGATCACCAATGAAACATCAAAGAAGAAACATTATTTTTACATGGGAATGTCCCGAAGTACTTCTCATCTCATTCAACTCGACATGGAGGCCAGTCAGGAAGAGGACGAGGCTGCTCAGCGGGAAGACCTCGAGAAATACCTTAAATTTGCGATAGCTGGTGCTCTTGAGGAAGACAAGGATATCGTAAAAGCAGTATGGCGCCACATGTATTTCACCTCATAGCATTTGTAAGGATGGGGAATGAAAGTGTTAGGAAAAGATGTCCTCGAGGCCAACTACATTCCGCCTTGTCTTAGTAGGCCAGGCGGAATCGAGCTGGGGAGGATCTGAGAGAATCTGGAGCAATTTCTTTGCCACGTTGAGAAATCCCGTTTCAAGTGAGCCCCGTTTTCCCCTCTTCGTGAATCTCGTCTCCCAACAAAAATACATGAAATCGTGTTCATTTTCTCGACGGAATGCTTCCATGTCATCAAAAAGGCTGTTCCTTTTCCCTTCCTTTCCCCGTTCCCATAAATCATCACGCATTCCCCGTTACGCATTACGTTATGTATCTCACCCCCTTAACAGAGAACCATTTCAGGAAATGTGAAGCTCCATCGCTCTTGGAAAAAAAATAACTAAGGATTTACAGGAAATTACAGCGCCCGTTAAAACAGATCTGGCCAATAAATGCGTTTCCGCAAAACATCATTGTTCATGTTTCTGATATCATCCTTTCTCTCATGATTTATTGTCTCTCATTTTCATGCAAAATATGACTTTAGTATCGGTTGCAAAAATTGAGAAATTCTTGACTTGAAGTTCGCACCCTATTTTCCTTGTTTGCTGCACGTCTGAACGCAGTACACTCTTCAAAGATGCATTGCATACATTTTAAATTCCATCCACGCCCTTTGCCCTGGAAGTTTCCTTGCACCGTTTCTTCACATGGAAAGGTCGCATGTTTCTCTCTGCAAAGACGATGCCGAATTTCTCATAGCTCAGATTCGACATGAAGGAGTTGAAAAGGGAAGCGAAGGGTTGCATTACTGAGAGTCCTCATTTTCCTTTCGGTTGCATGTGTCTATATTTTTTCAATGGACGATGCAGTAGATATTTGGCAATAAATGCTATGCACATGTGAAAAACCAACACATCACTCAATTGATATCGGCAAATTGCAATCAATATATGTTTCCAACAAAGCGCAAGCATGGAATCTGTATTTCTCACGAAAAAATGTATATACTGAATTTATCAATGCAACTCGGCCTGGCGAGTGGAAGATTTTATATCTGATGGTACCGCCCTACCATTCTATTTGTTTTGACAATAAATGGATAAGCATCTCCGTTATACCAAACCAACTCGACTCTGATCCCATGTTTTTGGAAAGGAGAACCTCCTCTATGAATGTGATGAGCAGAGCATTCCCCCTCAAGGAATTCACATCCAGACGGGGGAAGAAGAGTAGGCAATACGAAGTCAGACGGAGTAGACTACTTCCCTCTTCAAACCTCGGCATGGGAATGACGACTTCCGTGTGATCTCTTTTTTGACCAGTCTGTGACCAAGTCCCAGAGTAAGTTTACATGTGAAAAACGCTATCCTCAAAGAAATAGATGACCAGCCTCCAAAATGGCTGATCTGATGGAAGTGGACACGAAGCGAAACGTCTTCATGAGTGCTAGAACGCTAGAAAACGTTGGATTGCATGTGACCAAGTTCTATCAATAGTTACATGTACATCCATCTGCAGGAGAGGAACATCGGTGTCCATTCCAAAATGACGGGAAGCATCTAAACATGTGAAGTGCTTCAAAATACATCCAAATCCCAGAGTTTCTTTTAAGCGGAAAAAGGTAGGCCTAGGCTTAAAGTTAGAGAGTTCCATCGAGAAGAGGGGTGTTGAAGAAAATGAAATACTTTGAAAATTGGTATTCGCATTGCTGCATTCCAGTATATCTAAATATATTTAACACTTTCGCACAACAAATTATTCGAAAGCCTGTAAGTTTTCATAATTATTGCAGTGTACGTGTAACGTTTGACCGATTAGAGGTATGTTTCAAGTTTCGTGAACCATTTCAGTGCGGATGAGGAACGTTAGGCCAATCAAGAGTTGCTCGAGCCGTCTCGACGAGTTCTGAGACAAAAAATGCCTCTAGGAACCACGGAATACAACGTATGCGCCATTCTGTTTATTTAGGGATGTCGGAATGAGACACCTCCATATCGTACCTAATCGATAGGCCAATGCTCGTGTGAACGCAAAGGCCGACGAACTGAAGAATCACTTGAAATCCTTGGAATCACGGCAGCAGGCGAGAGGTACTGTAGTCAGTGATGCCAGCACCTCTTTTCGAGTACCACGGCAACTCTCGTCTCCTTGCCCATACGTAGATGGCGAGATGACAGCGAATTTCACAGTGGAGACACCATCTCCATCGGAGAGAACGCCACGGTCGTTCTAGCCGCATACGGATAATGGTAAGTTTATACTTTTCTCAGAGTCAGTTGAAAATACGATAACGATCGGATCGGAATGGATGGAGTCCAACGCACCGTTTTCACGGATCTCGACAAGTAGCAAACTCTGGCCGAACTTTTCGACGGACGAGTCAAGTTCCATTCTGAGAAACATCAAAAGCAAGCATCATACATCAGGTCAGGCGAATGGAGGAAGACAGGGAACATGAGGCAAACAGCACATACGCTATTCCAAATTCTCTTTTTTCCTGCAAGCTCTCCGGCCATCTAATATATATAGACGACCGTGACTGACTGACGCTAATTCTAACCATGTTCTAGAGAAGTTAGAAATCTGAAACTTGGTACACATGTAACTACTGGGATGCAGAGTTCAGAAAAAATCCGACTCTGGAGGTACATACCCTGGGGGTGCACATTTTGGGGGGAGAAGTTAATAAATATATATATTGTGACGGATTAGGATGGCATCGAGAGGCGTGACTAGGTGTCTCGGGTTCGGTGGTGTAGTTGTACCACACCAGACTGGCAATCAGGTGGCTTCTGGTTCAAATGCCGTCCGTCTGTTTGGCTTTCATCCGGCCTTATTTTCCTTGCTAGTCGCGCTACTCATTCCCCCTTCGTAACAATGTTTTCGCTTCATTAAAACAGAGAGACATGGAAAGCCGAAAATTGCCATGGACGTGCCTACTGAGACGATGAGTTCAAGAAAAATGTAAAATTTAAGATCCATGTCCTGTGGGACATATTTTTAGGGGCCGACGTTTTCACGTAATTTTTTTTCCCTGGCGTATTGAGCTTGTGTGGAAAGACGAAACTTGGTACATAACTACATATTGGGATGCTGCGTGCAGAAAATTTTAAACTTTGGAAGTAAATGCCCCGGGGGCTCAACTTTCAAAGGGAGATGTTTTCAAATAATTTTTTGCATCAGTTAAACTAATCAACATGGAAAGCTGAAGCTTTGCATGAATGTGACTACTAAGACGTGGAGTTAAAGAAAAATGTTAAGTCTTGATACATCCACAGGGGGAATTTTTTTCGAGGGGCGATGTTTAAAAAAAAATTTTCGGGGCGAATTGAACAGAAATGGAAAGGTGAAACTTGGCACATGTATAAGTGACATGCTCTTATTATTATTGAGTTGAGAGAGTATTCAGCTATCATGGTGCATCCCCTCCTGGCATAGCTTTTGGGTGCGTCGGCTTTTCCATTTTCATTTGCATTTTCATTAGCAAAAATGGCTAACGTAAAAGGTTGAAACTTTGTGGGCATGTAGTTCTCTGGGGATTGATTTCGGTTTTAAAGAAATGTACTTTTCAGTAAAAACGCCTGAGGGCACATGTATTGCAAAAGGCGTATTCTCTCGATCCTGCAAAAACAGAGGCCGCTAGAAAGTTTAAGCTTGCCAAGAAGAACTTGATGGATAGCTGAGTAAAGAAAAAATTCTACTATTATTATATGTAGAGGATCGTGAGTAGCTGACTGACCTAAGTCGCTATTCGCGTGCTGAGTTCAGGAAAAATTATGCAAAGTTCATATTATGGAGCATCTGACTATAATTACTTTAGTCAACCCTCTTTAAATTCATGACAGGAGAATAAAACATGAATACATTTTTTTCCAGGATTTTTAAATCTTCCTATGCAAAGCAATATTCAAATTACAATGAATAAAGTATAGAAATGCTAATGACAATTCCATGAAAAACACCAGTTCACTAGGTAGACAAGAAGCTTAAAAGGCCATTTCCTCAAGATTAAGCAAAACTTCTCCCTCTTTGTAATATGATCTCAGTTTGCCATTACTTGGTAATGATTTCTTTGTAGCCTATGTAGCTGTTCTGAAATATCATGGTTGATAAAGGTTGATATGTTTTTGTCGTCTAGTCCCACATTGGTGATCATCTGGTCTCAATGAGCAATATTGGTGAATATCTTGTCCCAGGGAACAACATTGGCGATTGTCCAGCCCCAGTGAATAGGGCAAGGAGTGCAGCAACACCCTCTTCATCATTTGGTGGGTTCACACAGCCCTTTTGAGGTTTATCACTATGAGACTGTTCAGAGAATGGTAACCCATAGCAGGATCTCGTTCATTTTTTCAGGATTTCCCTGGAACTATGATAGTATCAAACTGATACTGAATCTCTACAAGGAGAGGAAAGATCAATTCCAGGATGGAAGAATCGGAAAGGTGAAATTTTGGGATGAAATTGCTGAGGCAACAACATGGATATCCCAGCCTCACTGGGATAGCATGTGGTAAGAAGTTCAGGAATGTGAAAGTGACATTCATGCGCACTAAAGTTCACAATGGGATCAGTGGGTATGATTGCCGAAAATGGATTTTCTTCCAAGATTTTCAGGACATCTTCCAAAAGGAACAATCTGTTGATCTTGCCTGCGTTGTGAATGTGGGTTTAAGCAATTCCAGCTCTGAAAACATTTCACCCGAAACACCACTCTAGATTGAGTCATTCATTTAGCAAAATTCTGAGGAACCAGAAACCCCATCCTCATCTGGAAGCAAGTCATCCTCAAAAGCATCTCCCAAAATCTCTTCCCATGGGAAAAAGAAATGCAAGAGTGCACCTCCTGAGTGGGTGAACGATCTCATTAAGGAGAGGAATCAGTTTTTGAAAGATATTGCCCGAGGACTTGATAAGAGAGTTGATCTCATTGCAGAAGCTATTAGGGAGAGGAATAAAATCCTGCGACAACTGAAAGCAATTATTGGAAAAATAATTAGAAATAAATGATTCAAGACAGTGTTCTCACAAGTGCCAAGAACATTTATTCTGAAATACAAGTAAAAATTTAATTTAGTGGCATTGAAGTTCGTTGCTTTTGTTTTCTGTGCTCAAACCTTGGAACCTCAAATACTGGAATAAAAAATTGAGAAATATGAACCAGATAATTCTGGTTAATTGCTTTCTGAGAGATACATCATTCTGGCCTAACATCATAAACACAAAGTACCAAGGAAACCATGTTGACTGCTTGACAATTTTTAATGCACTTCACTCTGCTCATTTAGGAACTAAGGACCTCTGCAGTTTTTACTTTACTCATGCTATTTCGCCACTTTGAACATGCCAAATAACATCTGTAAAAAGCAAATAAAATGTTACAGAACACTAGTTTTATTCTATTTTTTATGCACCAGTCAAAATGACCACTCTGGTTCTTCTAGTGTTAAACAGATTCTGCTGCAACATCAAGCTCCAATTACATAGCTTACTTCTGTAGCTTTTGCATTATTTTGCCTTTTTTGCTTCCCTTGAGCATAAAGTAGGCGAGTTACTGCCACTTTGTCACTGGCATCACCTGGATTACTGTTTCAGTGGGTATCATGTTGCTTATCAGTCATCCTCATCTTCCTCCTCTAAGATGATGTAGTGCAACACACAACAATAATGACATGTGTTGCCAGGACCATATTAATCATGAGATCTTGAAGTCTCCGAAACTTATTTTTCAATCTATAAAATGTGCTCTTAATAGTAGATCTTCATTTGAAAGTTTGGTATTGAGCAATTTTTCACATTGGGACAGATGTTCATTATCTCCGTAATTGACAATCAGCTGGAGTGACAGTGAGTATGCAAGGCCACCTATAATGTGGTGGTCTGAAGATGGAAGTGGAACTGTCATACTTTGCACTGCCTGCCCCAAAGCACTTGTGCGGAACACCTGTGCATCATACACAGAGCCAGGCCAAGCAGCACAGACATCAATGAGTTTTTCATTACAAACTGCCTGAAAAACTAGACTATGAAAGCCCTTTCTGCAGAAATGACTATTCTGACTTTCATGTGGTGCTTCCAACAGTGAGACATGACAGCCATCAATAATCCCAACAATCCCAGGAAATCCTTGCTTCGTCTCAAATGATTGGGATGTAGAGAGGGCAACAGAAGTTGATGGCGATTGTATGTGCTCTGCCTTGACAGCCATTAGAGCACTGATCCCTGGAAGAGCAAAACTTTACATAAATGGGTTGGTGGGATGAAGAAACAGGGATTGAGTACGTTCTGGGAAGGCTAATCCTTGGAGAGATCGATAATAACAAAAGTATCCATGCATCCATACTACAGTATATTAGAATACGCTAATGAGATTCGTCGTAGATGTAGCCTCTGGCCTATAAAGCTTTTCACCTACAAGACATAGGCTCGGTAGCCTGTAGGCCTGTCAGCCTTTGCTTTTCAATGTAAAAGGCTCGATTGCCAGTAGGCCTTCAAATCTTTTTGCTACCATGATCATAGGCGAGAAGCGTTTCGTGATTCGTCTATGTAGTTGATAGGCCTACAAGCCTTTGCTATCGCAGGACCTAGGCCGGGTTAAACAGTTTCACAATACAGGGTGTCCGACATATCATGAATTATTTTTATTCTTGACCGATGGTCTAGAAAGCCATAGCCTGTTGGCTTGGCGCGAATTACAAACGTGCTGGGCTTGCAAGGCTATGCCTTCCTGGGTATAGGCTAGAACACAAAAACCTATGATTCCTGACAAGTCGAACACCCTGTATATGATGCGATGCGCATAATAGATGCGACGAGGCTTTGTAGGTTTGGACTGACCAATGAGCAACATGAATATGTCAAAGTTGAGAGAAGAGCTGCATTAATTGTATGCCAACATGAGGCTGTTAACGCTGCATGGGGAACAGCATGCGTGTACGGGTTGAACCTTTTAACAATACTAGAGTTGCATTCGCTAGGACGTCCAACGTCATTCCAGCCGTTTCGCATGATCGCGACTCTGATGAACGTAGAAACCTCTGCTAAGCATTGCCTGGCTCTTCATTTGGATGCGGGGAAACCTTGCAAGGTTGTTATGATTTCGTTACACTGTTCCATTCGAACCCATTGGAGTTTCTGCCAGAGTTGAAAACTCTGCTGATGGGGAAGGTGAAAATGCTAGCAATATTCGGGAGTTTAGAAGACAGTATAACAGCGCAAATGCGTTTCAAACGCGTCCTTTCGGTACTTTACCGATAATGATTTTTTCTGCTTCAAAACATCCAGCGAGATCTATCATTTAACTATGACCTGTCTACATCCATTTGGCAGTGTTGTTCCTCGGCTAAATCAATTAGCAACTAGCGTATGCTCAACTCTTTTTACGATATGGATGAAGTGGTTCGAATGCAGCGACACATGATAATTCGGAACGAGAAGTGCGTCATTGTTCATTATCGATAGAACAGGTGGCACTGGGAAACAATTCCTTTTAACTACACGAATCCACATGCTACATGGAAGTGGACAATGTTTTAAGCGTTGCATGCTGACTGATATTTCTGCAGTTTTGCTGCGTGGTGGGATGACGCGTCACACAGCCTTCGACTTGCCAATGGATCTGCTCATGCATGTAACATGTTGTTCATCTTGGTAAAATCAAAGGATGACGTCGGTAGCTCGATTCATCGTCTGAGATGAGGCGACGATGGCGCCCACTGAAGCGCTGGCAATGCTAGAACGGCCTTGGCGAGACTCGATGGACGATGACCGATTCGATGGGAAAGTTGTTATACTGGGTGGTAACATTCGCCAAGTGATCACATTCACTAGGAACTCATTGGCTTATGAGTGTATAAGACTCCTTTGTCATTATTCTCTGGTCACCAACACCTTGATACAAGGATGCTAATGAGCGGCTGGTTTCGACGGCTAATAACGTTTAAATCACATGTGGAAATCTTCATATGACCCGAAACACTCATTCAGCCTGATGTAACTTCGATGCATGCCATCAAAGAAACCGGAATTTGCGTATATTGTTTTACTTTTAGAATAAATGTACGACTTCAAACCCAAATTAATATCCACAAACCATTACTGATCTATGAGGGTAAGTCAGATAGTAAGGTTCCCTATTTATATTTCTTTGGAGGGCAGGTAATAACGCCAAAGACAATATACAGGAAATGTCGCCACATACGTTTATTATTTTTCCACGTAGTCACCATATTTGTTGAGGCATTTGTCGTAATGGTCGATCAGCTTATCGAAGCCCTGCCGATAGAAGGACGCGTCCTGCTCCTGAAGCCACTTTGTGACTTCCTCTTTGACGGCGTCATCCGATGGATGGCGCCATTGCCAGGTGCTGAGAAGGTCCATCGTGGAGCAAGCAGTGTGAGGGCGGGCGTTATCGTGCAATTGAAGCACGCCCTGTGACAGCCGCTTCTGTCGAACCTCTTGTTTCAGTCGTGTCAACGTCGACTGATACGCTGCGGCATTTATAGTCTCACAACGTGGAGTGGAATCGATGAGAATGATAGAATATGAAAAATTATTTGAAAACGTTACGTCCCCAAAAGAAATATGAACCTCAATTTTTTGGAAATTTGACGTTAGACATTTGAGCTCTGAGCGTCAGCGGTCACGTTCTTGCCAAGTTTCAGCTTTCCATGTGTCTCCGTTTGAAGCAAAGAGAACTATTTGAAAATATGTTCCCTGAAGATAAGTTCCCTATGGCATGTATTCACCGAAGTAGAATTTTTTCTGAACTCAGCACGCGAATAGCCACTTATGTCAGTCAGCTACTCACGATCTTATATATACAGTATATAATAAAAGTAGAATTTTTTATGTACTTAGCTATATATCTGGTACATCTTTACCAAGTTTAAACTTTCTAGCGCCCTCCGTTTTGCTGGATCAGAAAATTCGGAAAAATACTCCTTTTGCAAAATAGGTGCCCTGAGCTATTTTAACCGAAAAATGCCATTTTTTAATTTTTTTTATCAAAATCCATCCTCAGTGAACCGTCGGACCTTCGGACTCGGGGGGCCCCCTTTCCACCACATCTTCGTGGACGAAGCCGAAGACTTGTGTCTTTCATTCCAAGACCACTGGTTGAGCTCGCTCCATTCCCTCCAAAAACAAGGATGCTTCTGGCGGACCTACGACCCCCTTTCCACGACAGTGAGTAAGATGTCGGATTCGTTGAAAGAGGAGTTGGAAGGTGTTCATTCCTTATTCAAGGTGTTAAGGAACCCCGGATCCGTTTTCCACTCCTGGACAACTAACCTCAAGCGAAAGAGAGACTACGATATGCAATTTCCCGGCACAGTCGACGCTATTGAAGACAATAGCGTCAATTATTGCTATTCCAGGGAAGAAATCCTCTCGGGCACGATTCAGAGGGCCCCAACGTGGAAGAGTTTCGCGTTCCCAGTCCCATTCTCTCCAAGAAGATCCTGGAAATCTTAATTAATTCTAATGCATTTTGGGTGGCACATTCGAGAAGATATAAAGAGTATAAGATCCTGCATTTAATTTTTCGAACCGCCGCAGAGAATGTTCCGCGTTGTTTAATGACTGGCTTGATGGGTTAACATTGAGGCTATGTTTGAGATATGTTAATCACAACACAGGTATGTTTGCGATCCAAGTATAAAACATGACTTTCACAATAGAATCACATTGTGAAATAGCCGGTACAAATGTATATCTAAGAAATAAAAGCTCACGACTTGTCGGTCTGATTATTAGTCTTAGAATTCTGAATGCATTTTTGCATTAGCATTTTCCGGGCTGAATAGTTGAAAGTTCACAGATCCTGAGATAAGCTAACCTAACGTCAAAGGAACCAATTCACATCACTGCATAACATCTTTAAGCCGAACTGCTGACACTGGGAGAGACTGACTTACAGTCCTGACGGCTACCGAGAGTTGTGGGGAATAGCATAGTTCAACCGCGTCTGACAAGGATAACAAAGACAAGCGCGAAGGTGCAAGGGGAAGTTCCCCCTAAGCATTAGATAAATATCGGGGAAACCCCTATTTTCCCCTTTTCTCCCCTCTCCCAAGCTGTCACAGGACAGTTTTTTTCAACACCCAATGTTGATTCACCGGTGAATCAAAGTAGATTCAACGTTGAAACACATCTCACCGGTGATTCACCTGTGATTCACCGGTGATATTTTTGTACGGGCACGAAAAGAAACTCTTCAAAATATGATTTTTCCGAGAAGAATTGGGCATGCAGCTCATTCGCCCGTTCCCGAAGACAAGATTATTATTTTCCTTGTCTACCGTCCCCGGCTACCGTCGTCACTGCAGCGCGACTGCAATGATTAGAGCTCCTGTGTTGGACCGAGTGCAACATGCATAAAAATGAACCAGACTGACATTTTGTTCTTCCACAAATGACGACAAAATAAGCATCTACGGTGCGCTTGGCATTTGCAAGGGAGTTGTGATGATCACGCCCTCCCCCAGCAGTTCTGGGCGCTTCGAGCGTATGGCAGGGCACTCTTTCTCTTGCAGGACCCACTTGTAGCAGGTCGCAGTCACCATGGTGCCGTTTGGCCACACGATAAGTGGGGCTAGGAACTGCCAGCTCAGCAAGATTCCCTTCAATAAATCACTCAATTTATTTGCTTTCATTCGTTCTGTCAATGCCCATAAGAGTGAAACACAAAGGGAAAAGTGAGAAAAAAAAGTGAATGCATCGAAGGCGTTCTAGTAAGGGAGTGATACGGTCCACTTCACATGAAGGGGCGGATAAGTTGTTTTCGCACCTCGCACCATCAAACTATGTGTGAACTTCTCCGCTCGGATTTTTGGCAGTTCTCATGGCATCGTTCTTAGTTTGTGGTCCAGATTTTCGAGAGATTGGTTCCGCCTAAGCGATACTATATTTCTGAAAATAATGTATGGCTTACTTGAAAAGAAGTATAGTTTACGCATATGGAAATGACGTCGATTATTATTTCATAAATATGTACTTTTTAATTGTCAAAGTCAGCAAAACTGTTGAATTCGTCCATTTCTTGACATTTCTTCTTCCGTTAAATATGTATTCCTTCTTAAATAAGATATATATTCCCAAACTACATACATGCATGTATCTATTGGTGTCATTTGGCATTCACATCGCTCATGCCTAATTATATATTAATTGAGAAACTGTGTTATTTTCCCAAAAATGGGTCGAAAAGAAAAATTGTTTCATCGAAAACCCCATAATTGGTTCTTTCATTATTTTTGCCATATCGATACTTGATTGTTACTAAATTGAATGTCGAGGAAAACAGCGATTTTGGCAAGTCGCACTTTTTAGCGCCCTCCACTTACGATTTTTTTTATCTCCGAAACTGCTGCAAATACAGAGGTAAATAAGGTATCATATTTAATCGCTTGGATTAGAGGACCACATTAATGTTTATTTTAAATATCGAAGCCTATTGACCTGGCACAAAAGCGACGAACCTGTCTGATTTGAAATGAAACCACGGTTCTTGCTTTATGCTTTCCTGCCAAATAGTGTTGGATGTCGAGC